CATTTCACTTCAAAAAGGCAAAGACAAGCCATGCAAACAGAACAGAAATGGCTGTACTAACATCAGACAAAATAAAATATAATAAACTGTTCAAGAAAAAACATGGTTAAAAAAGATGTGGTCTTGGCTGGTGAGATGGCTCAGTGGTCTAAAGCACCTACTTAGAACAAGCTTAGCAAAGCACAAGGACCAAGGTTCAATCCCCCAGCACCACATGCCAGCCAGTCCCGCCCCCTGGTGGGCTGAGCTGCCCCCCCCCTCTAAATAAAACAAATTTAAAAAAAGATGTGATCTTTTAATATAATGGAATATTACTCAGCCATAATAAGGATAGGCCATGGGCTGAGGATAAAGCTCAGTGGTACAGTGCCTGCCTGGCACACACAAGGTTCTGAGTTTGATTCCATGTACCAGAAAAAAAGATAACAGAAAATATAAAGACAACAATTTGAAGGCTGGGGATATAGCTTAAAAAAAAAAAAGCACTAAATAGCCCAAAGGGAAAAAGGCAGGAAAATAATGGTAAAGCAGAGATAAGTAAAAACAACAACAAAAAAAGTAAAACCAAAAGTTGGGGGTTTTTTTGGTTTTTTTGTATTTTTTAGGGAAGGGTCTACAGGGCATTCAGGGTCTCACTACTAGATCAGACTCGTAGTGATCCTCCTGTTTACAGCCTCCCAAGAGCTGGCATTACAGGCACGCACCACCATGCCCAGTCTCAATTGCCATCTCAGCACGCTCCAGGGGCAGGCTGGCACAGCAGGCCCCAGGATCGAACCTCCGGCCCCTGCGTCTGCTTGCAGGCACTTTAATCCACTGATCTATTTGGCCAGCCCTAAAAGTTGATTTTTTTAAAAGATAAAAATAGACTCACCAGGTCTAAAAGGAAGACTGAAAACATTAAAATCAGAAATAAAAGGTGGATAGCACAACAATTTTTACAGAAATAGAATAAGAGAACATTATGAACAACTCCGTACCACAATTTGATGACCTAAATGAAAGTGATGAGGTATTAGGAAACACATAGCTTGCCAGGCCAAATCATGCATTCAGAATGTCAGAATGTACCACAAAGGTTAAAGAGCTAGTGTAACCAAAAACCTCCAGGTAAAGATGAGTCTAAGCAGACAGCTTCACCAGTAGTTTTTTTCCACACATTTTAAAGCACTAACAATGATCAGTCTCACAGACAGTTGGGGCTGTGTGGCCAAAACTACTCTGATATTAAGGCCAGAAAGAGACAACTCAGGAGACCAACATCCTGTTAACAGTGATGCTGAAGTCCTCAACAAAACACCAGCAAACTAGCTGGTCCCGATGGTGGCATCCATCATCTCAGCTATTCAGGAGGTGCCCAGGAGTTTGAGTCTAGTCAGGGCAACACCACCACCCTGTATCCCTTGTTCCTGTCCCTCTTTTTTTTTTTTTTTTTTTTTGAGAAAAGGTCTTGCTACATAGTTCAGGCCTTCAACTCACTATGTAGCCCAAGCTAGCCTCTAATTTCCTGGGTTTAAGCCCTAGCAATGTACATACATGTGCGTACACACACACACACACACACACACACACACACACACCACTAGCAAACTGAATTCAGCATGTTAAGACTAATAACCTGACACAGAAAAATTAATACATGTAATATACTGCACTGACAGAACAAAGGGGAAAACCACATGATCATTTCAATTAGTGCAGAAAAAGCACTTAGCAAAATTCATCCTTTTGTGATTTAAAGCACACAGAAACCTCAGCAAATGAGAAATGAAAAAGACTTCCTTGTAAAGGTCATATAGGCTGATGCCACACTCAGTAGGTTCTTCACCCAAGGCCAGGAGCAGGACACACTGGGCACTGCTGTGCAGCCAGAATAATAGCAAGGAAGGAGTAAGGTCACCTCTTTGTGAATAACCTGGTTTCCTATGTAGAAAGTCCACAAAAACCTTGTTAGGACTAATAAAGTTACAGCATACAAAATCTGCATCCAGGGACTAGGGAGATAGCTCAGCAGTCTAAGTGCCAGTCTGTCAAGAGCAAGGACCCGGGCTTGATCCCCAGTACCACATGCCATGATGGCTACTAAAACTGGGCATGGTGGCACACACCTGTAATCCTAGTGCTGGGGAGGCTGAGACAGGAGTGTCACTATGAGTCCGAGCTGCATAGTGAGATCCTGTACCAAACACATAAAATTGGAACAGCATTGGAAGCCCAGACAAGAATATTCAAATATACAAATGACTTGACAAGGGTGCCAAAGCCATTCAGTGAGGAAAGTTCAGTCTCAACAATGCTAAGAAAGCTAGACCCTAAATCATGGCATATGCAAAATGAGTCAAACACATAGCTAAAGATCTTGAAAATGGAGGGAAAGCTTCTGAGCCCTGAGTTCGGAAATGATTTCTTGGATTATAACTAAAGCACAGGCAGCAAAAGCAGAATCAGACAAACTGGACTGAAAAAACTTTTTTTTGAGACAGGATCTCATTACGTAGTTCAGGCTGGCCTTGAACTCAGGATGATTCCTTACCACCTCAGCCTCCCAAGTGCTGGGATACTGGGCACCAAAATGAAAAATTTTTGTGCATCAAACAGCAGCTCTAAAAACGGTGCCGTTTTAGTGTGGCAGTTCCTCCATGTCATGGTTTATACTTAGATGTCCCTGCAAAGCCTCATGCAATTATAATCAAGATCTTTGAAATGCAATTGGATATTAGGGACACTATCACTGTCTCCCTTTAGGTGGGGCCTGGTCAGAAGAGGTGAGTAACCAGGAAGATTTATATTTTCCTTCCTGGCTCCTCCTGGGACACCATGATGGGAGCAGCTCTTTGTGAAGGCTCCTGCCATGCCATTCTACTTTGGAGCCAGGTGGCCTTAGACTGTAACTGTGAACCAAAATAACCTCTCAGGCCAGTGAGATAGCTCAGTGGGCTAACGCGCCTGCTTAGGCAAGCACAGGGATTGGGGTTAGATCATCCTTGGCACCACATGGCGGTGCAGGCCGTAATCCCAGCGCTGGGGAGGCTGAAAACAGGAGAATCACTACCAGTCTGAGCTGCATAATAAGACCCTGTTCTAAATACATTAAAAAGTTTTAAAAAACAAATCCCTGGTACAAAAAGAAATCCTCAGATTAGTCAGGATGGTGGCAGCTAAGCTGAGGAAGGAAGCCAGGAACTGCTGAATGGAGGAGAGTTTTAACTTAGGGTGGTGAAAACTTGTGCCACAGAACCACACACTTCAAGGTGGTTAAATGGCAAATTAGATCGCTGGTCTTTTGCTCTTGGGAATCAAACCACGGACTCCTACAGGCAAGACAAATGCTTTACAATGAACCATACCCTCAGCCCTAGGATTTATTTTTGGGGTTTTCTTTGGTGGGATTACAGTGGTGGTGGTGGCGGCAGATGTGTGTGTGTGTGTGTGTGTGTGAGAGACAGGGTGTCACTATGTAGCCCAGGCTGGCCTCACACAGACAGTGATCCTCCTGTCTCAGCTTCCCTAGTACTGGGATTATTGGTGTGCCCCACAATTCCAGGCTAAGATTTGTTTTTATTGTAACATGTAACAAAGCTAAAGAGAGAACAAGGCTGAGGGCTCAGGAAGGAAAAGCGGAGCAGAGGAGCACAGGGACTACCTCTGGTGAAAGCCAGGGACTCCCAGATGGTGCTAAAGAGACCCACAACTTAGGGGCATAAAATGCCAAAACCAACCCTTGGTAAAAAAAACAAAAAACAAAAAACAAAGCCAACCCATGGTGTTGGAGAAAAGAGTAGTACGCCAAACAGAAGACCCTCCTCTGAGAGTGGAAGCAGTCTGATCCAGCACTGCCTTGTGACCTGAGTTCCGGAATGTTTTATTTTAGCAAATCCAGCACAGAGGTATTCAATAAGAAAATGAGCACACTCATCCGGGCCTATGGGCATACACCTGAAATCTCTCAGCACTTGGGAACCTAAGACAGGAGGATCATAAGTTTGAGGTTAGCCTGGACTAACCTCATACATACCAAGACCCTATCTCAAAAAACCAAACCAACAAATAAAACAAAGTACATTCTATGACTCAAGCTTCAACGTCTGGGATTCTGCCTCAGGAGCCCACTTGTGCAAGGGTAAACAGTCATCAAAGATGTTCTTCATGGCAACATTTCTAATACCCTCAAATGTAAATCACCTCAATACTTGCTAAGAAAGGAATATGAAATCCTGCGCAATACTAAGCAAAAAGAACGCTGACCTGTGTGTAGGACCATGAAGAGCTCCTAGGCACAGAGTGATGTGACCAAGTAACGACAAATACCCTCTCTCTCTCAAAACAAAAAACATTTAGGATGTTTTCTGTTTACCCATTTATGCACACCAAAACACCAGTTATCAGTGCCCAACTCCAAAGACTGAATAAAGGCCTAAGTCTGGGGCCAAGCTCAGGACAAGAACGTTCAGGCATATTTTCTCACACTCAGACATTCACAGGCTGACAGACGAACACATGCGCTTCTAGGCAGCAACTCGGGGTCTCTCCTCAAACACCACCCTTCCCTCCCGACCGGGGCTCTCCTCGTCTCGCTGAAGATGGAAACCCGGTCCGCCTTGGTCGCACCCAAGCCGGCTGCCCGCTCGCAGGCTGGCGGACAGGCTCACCTGTCAAGGGCGAAGGGTCTCTTTTGGGCTGCAGGCGATTGGTCTGGGGCAGGAACGGGTTGTTCAGCCTACGGACACGACAAGTCAGGGGACTTCCCCGGAGGCCCCGGCCCGGAGCCGCCAACCCGAGAGGCGCTCACCCGAACGCGTTGGGCTCCTCCACCACCTTCATCTTCGCGGCAGCTGTCAGCGCGGGCCCTGCAGGTAGGGAGGCGCTGAGGAAGCTCCGAGACCCTCGGGCGGGACGGGGGAGTGGGAGGACGGGACTAGGGGTGGAGTCGGAGACACTAACCGGTCACTGCAAGCCCGAGCCGTAACAGCAACACCGACAGCCGCGCCGCCATCGCGCCGCCGCGCGGTCACGTGAGGACGGGAGCAGGAAATGCCGTCACCCGAGCGACGCAAACCAGAAGCGGCGCCCTCGCCGGCGCGCTGCCCCGGGCGGTGGCGGAAGGGCGTTCTGGGGCTTGGGGATCTGTGCGCCCCGCTATGGGCCGCCGGCGGGCAGCGCGCGGGTCAGGGGCCGAGGGCAGCCGCGTTCGCCGTCCCCGGGGCCGCTCTCTGGAGACTTTCGCCGAAGAGGTGGGCGCCGCGTTGCGCGGTGAGTGGTGAGCGATCAGGAGGGCGGGGAGGGGTTACCCCGGGAGCCCGCGCTGAGGTGGGACCCTTCTCTCTCCCGGTGCAGCGTCGGTAGAGCCAGAAGCTGCTGAGGATGAGGGCGGCCCGAACCCAGCCACGCTGCCCTTCGCGCTGGCTATGTGGGATTTGGGCCATTGCGACCCCCGGCGCTGCACGGGTCGCAAGCTGGCCCGCCTGGGCCTGGTACGCTGCCTGCGCCTGGGCCACAGGTTCGGCGGGCTGATACTCAGCCCCATGGGCTCCCAGTATGTGTCCCCGGAGGACAGGTATGTATGGGAGGCCTTGGTGGTTGGGGTGGGGGCTACTTATCTCAATTCTCTGGTTTTTGTGAGTCACCCTGTCTCCGGGGCATCACTCCCTTCAGGGTTCACATATTTATTCTTGAGTGCTATGTATGTATACTCTCTACATGAGTAGGGGCACGTCTAATTTGCCTCCTTGCCTAGGATGTAGGAGAGCCCAATCAACGTTTATTGAGTAAACATTCTTCAGGTACCACCAGCACCTGCCTCAAAAGTTTACACACAAGGGCTTCTTGTAGGTATTTGGGGATAAGAAAATGATATCCAGTATCCCTAGCGAAGTGTCTTCAGGAGCATATGTAACTTGAGGCCATCACCTAAGTGCTGCTGGCACAGAATTTACCTTGTCTTGTCCTTGACAGACAGCTGGTTGCTCAGGCTGGAGTCGCAGTCATAGACTGCTCTTGGGCCAGACTGGGTGAGACGCCTTTTGGGAAGATGCGAGGGAAGCACTTGCGACTGCTGCCTTATCTGGTGGCTGCGAACTCCGTGAACTATGGCAGGCCCTGCAAACTCTCCTGCGTGGAAGCTTTTGCCGCTGCCTTCTATATTGTGGGTGAGTTTCAGGCTTGCCATCAGCCCAACCTGGCATTCTGGTCTAGTGGTCTGACTGTGCAGGTATGACTGTGGTTGCCCGAGACATCAGGACAGGCCTTCAATCCCAACTCCCACTTAAGAGCCGGGACCTTGTAGAGTTAGAGTGGAGGCATAGTGACACAGCTGCCTACCAGTTGAACAGTGGCATCTGTCAAGACAGGACTGCCCTGAGAATCCATAGAATTTAAGGTCCAAGGAGAAACCTAGATGGAGGCCAGTAAGATGCGAGATGTGACAGGCTTGGTGGGACTCTTGTTTCTCACTAAAGGGGAGAGAATGAGGGTGGCAGAGAAGGGGCTTGTACCAAGACAGACAGACATTAGAGGGCCGGCATGGAGTGGCATGACTCGAAGTTGTTATGTGGGGAGGACACTTCAGTCCCCAGGCACAGTAGCACTGCCTAGCAGTTGGGGTTACAAAGACGTAACGGCGAACCTTTTAGAGCTTTCAGTGATACAGCCCACTGCAGCTCACATGTCATAGGTTCGCCACCACTGCTCTAGAGGGATTAAGATCTTCAGGTTTTCTGTGCCATCAGGCTTTTCAGATCTTGCTGTCATTTTGCTGCGGAAATTTAAGTGGGGCAAAGGCTTCTTGGAGCTGAACCACCAGCTCCTAGACAACTATGCAGCCTGCAGTGGACCTGAGGAAGTGCTACAAGCAGAGCAAGAGTTCTTGGCCTGTGCCAAGGAGGCTCCTGAGGAGGAGGAAATTGGTGAGGCTTGCATGAATGGGAACCCCTGTAGGCCTGTACCTCCTGAAAAACACTGGGGTAGTGTTATATCTGCCTTGGGCTTAGAACTCATCTTTCTCTTTCTTTCCTTGGTTCAGACCCATTTGATGTGGATTCAGGGCGAGAGTTTGCAAATCCCAACAGGCCTGTGGCTACTATCCGGTAGGTCCTGGCTTCCCTTGACCCCTGGCCTCAGCTTCTGCCTGTGGGGGTCCTAAGTGACACCTGAATGGTGACTGAGCATATAAAGTAGACATCCACCAGGGAGGGTTTGGCTTAGCAGGGAGTGAGAGAGGTGTCTTTAGCTTTGGGGCTTTGTGGGTGAGGACACAAAGGCTGCTTTGGACTGACCAGGGTTGACACCATGAAGGAACATACCCTCTCCCCCAAGGCTACCCATGGACACAGATGAAAGTGATGAGTCCGAAGAACAAGAGCCTGAAGACAGTGATGGAGAAACCAACAGCTGCTCCCAGGAGGCAACTCTGGAACAAGGGGATGAGGCCATGGCCTCAAGTGAGACTTAGAAAGGAATCAAGAAACGGCAGTCTGAAGGTTGCAGACACATTGTTTAAACAGGGTAGTAAGAACTCCAGAGATAGAAGAAACAAGGGTGGCAGTGGTAGCCGCTGCAATTGTGGATAGAGTGGAGCTTATTGCAACACAGGGATAGGCTTGCTGGGTTGGAGCTACTTTGGAGCTCTCAATGAAGCTATGGACTGAGAAGGAGCCTCAAGTGTTTGTGTGTGCTTGGTTTGGGGGTTGGGGCTTACCTGGGCGGGTTTGGGCTATTGGTCACATAGGTACTTGAAAGGATGGCTGAGTGGCCGAGCTGTGGGTGTTCCCCCTCACCTTACAGTGACCATGGGGGAGCCTCTCCCAGACCAGTGCCCTACTTGGGAGCTGTGATTTTTCAGCAAGTCCCCTGTTCATCTTACTGTACATGGGGTGCAGAGCCAGGAAAGGGCGAGTGAGCATAACAGACTTTCTTGCCCGTGACTTCCACCTGGGGCCCCGGTCATTGCTTCCCTCCAATTCTTAGTTCCTCTAATCTTGACCTCCAGCCTCTTGACTGTTGGGGGCCTTGCTTCTGGGAACTCCAAGAAGGGCTTTCCATAGGGACAGTGCTCATAGTAGGGACGGACCATTATTTGGGGACTGATGCACTGCAGGATCCTGAGGCACATCCCTGGCTCCCACCCTCTGGAACTAGTACAGCTTCATGTCCCAACGTAACCACAGTCTTCAGACATAGCTTAGTGGCTCCCTAGAGAATAGACCATTGAAACCAGCTGCCCACTGTTCTACTGCCTGTGAGCCCAGAGGAGGGGTACCGCCTGACTAGGTCCATTCTGTTCTAATAAGTCCAGGGACTACTGCTGGCCAGCTCCTTCCAAGCTGGTCCCCATATTTGGGGTGGAGCATGCTGGCGTGCAAGGAGTCCAGTGCATGAACCAAAGGGCTACAGCAAGGATAAGGGTACCTCAGGGTTTGGACAGAGCTGCAGATCAGGGGAGCACAGAGCTGGACAGCTTGTTGGGGTGGGTGTGCTCAGGGATCTGCCTCCATACACTTCTCCAGCTCCTTAAGCTTCCTGACAAATTCCTGTGCCTCCTTGTTGCTGCGGCCCTCGAGCATCCTCAGCGCTGACCTCACTGTGGATAGGCAGGCAGGTGGGCAAGCATGTGGAAGCCACATGACCCTCCCTTGGGACCCCACCACGTCCTCAGTCACACTCACCCTGGGCCCTGGGCCGGCGCAGATGCAGGGTGATGGGCTGCCCTGCTCTCATTCCCCCACCCACTTGGGGCCTTGAGATGCCGCAGACCCCATTCAAGCCAAGGGCCGCCTCCCCAGCAAAGTCGTTGGTGGATAGCCAGTCATGGTCCATGACAGTGAATAGCACACAGGCCCCGCGGCGGCGGCATGCTTCTGCAGACACGGAACTGCAGATAGGACAGTTAGGGAATAGTCAGGAGCCACTCTTGACCTAGTGGGATAGGGTAGGGTAGCCAGGGGCACTCACAAGTGGAAGAGCTCATCGTATACAGGGTGTAGTGTCCGGGCCTTGACCTGGGTCCTCTGGCTGCGGGCCAGCGGGAAGAGATGTGGGGGTCCCAGTTCCACAATCACAAAAGGGTCACTCAGGCCTGGGGGAACACATGGCCATGATCAAGTCATTCCCACCAAGCACCCCACACTTGCCACCACCATGCCGCACCATTGGTATCCAGGGGGAGCAGGTCTGCAGCATGCAACACCTCCACTGCCAGCCGCTGCTCTGCTGCCTCATAATAGCAGCGGACATTCAGGCGGCCAAAGCGGTTCTGCTCCAGGGACTTCTGTGGGAAAAGTGAGTGAGCAGAGCTGGGGCTGTGGGATGCAGCAGGGCGTGGACAGCAGACAATAGCCATCTTACCTGCTTGAGCTTATCCAGATAAAACTGCTCAATGCACTCACGTGTGGAGCATTTGTGCAGCCGCAGTTCCTCCTCCAGCCTCTGCAGGGAAAGGAACCCAGTGACAATGGTCGGCACTGGCCACAGACAGCTAGATGCCTTTGAAGCAGCATCTACCTACCCTGCCTCAAGCCTCCTGTTTGTTGTTGGTTTTTTTTTTTTTTTTTTTTTTTTTCAGTACCAGGGATTGAAATGGGCACTATGTGCTTGCCAGTCAAGCCCTTATTCTAGTGATCTCCCCAGCCCTTCCTGGTCTGTTTTAAGGCAGCTGGTGGAGCTGGGCCCCCAGAGGGCCAGATCTTACCTTGTAACTTCCATCCTTGAGGGTCTCCAGAGGCAGTCCCTGGCCCTCAGCATGAAAAAAGTTAACCAGAGCCTGGGGCAGAAAAAGAGGGAAGAGATGTCTGGAAGCCACAACAAACCACTTCTCTCTCAGGTGCATCAGGTCCCAGGAAGCCTGGGAAGGTACCAACTGCTGAGGCCTTAAAGTTGCCTCCCAGGGGGCCCTGGTGGGTCTGGGCTGTGGGGAGGAAATGTGGCCTGTCCAGCCTTAGAGGAGATGGCAGAGAGGCTGAGGACTAGTGATGTGGGAGAGGTCCCTTGAGCTCTGCATGGCCTACCTCCAGTGTGAAGTGGAAACGTCCATAGAAGTCTGCAGAGACATCACCGTTTCCACCCAGTGCCTGCAAAATAGCCTGAAGGAGCAGCTCCCAGAGGGCCTCCAACACTCTGCAAGGACAGCATTGGCGACTACCAGGCCATATACTCTCCACCTGCCCGGCCTATACCAGCCTGTACCTGCCCATACCTTCCTAGGTTCTCCTTTACCAAGGAGGCATTCAGCAGGGCCAGTTTCTCATCCAGGTACTTCATGAGTGGAGCTACAGCCTGTGGGTAGGGATCTTCAGGACCAACCAGAACCTGGAACCCAGCTTCCCCAGGTGTAGTACATGCTCATATCCACACTTTTAACCCCCCCCCCCACATACCTCGTCATTCTGAATGGAGTCTGGGGAGAGGCTGATGTGCTGCACGTACTTCCTGATGTCAGCCACCATCTGCAGGGGTGATGCTCAGCACCAGGTAGGGATACCAGGGACAGCCCCCACACCAGGCCCTGGTCCCCTGCCCACCTTGGAGGTCAGGTGTGCAGTCACAGTGTGGGCCTCTCGCCGCAGGTCATCCTCTAAGGCCTGTGTGCAGCTGAGGAGGGGGCGGGGAAGCCCCGCTACACCCTCAGGCCAGGCCAGGCCCCGAAGTGCCTGCCCTGAAGCCCTGCGCACCAGCTCCACGTTATTGAGCACCACACAGAGCTGGGGAGGGTAGGCAGAGGGAGATGGTGGGTGTAGTCAGGGGCAGCCCCACCAGCCACCTGCAGCCTCACCTGGCCGGCCAGCCACCTACCGGCTCGCTCACTGTCTCGCCAACAGCCCCAGGCTGGATGTCTACTTTCTTCCTCAGCAACTCTGTGTAGAAGAGGGCTGCCCCACACATGTCCTAGGGTGGGGATGGGACACAGGACTGGGACCTGGAGCTCCTCCCAGGCCCCAAAGTCCTCCTAAACCTGCTTCCCCAGCCTCCAGGTGCCACACCTGGCTGAGCTGAGTCCCCAGGCCTTGAGCCTGAGTAAGGTCAGGCCAGGCAAGGTGGACCCAGAGCTCCTGGATGTGGCTGAAGCAGAGGCTAGCAGTGGCCGCGGAGCTGCTGTGTTTGGAGGAGGCATCCACAGGTTCCAGCTGGAAGGCAAGAAGCAGCCTGCATCATATGGGGCACACAACGAGCTCCAGTGCCTTTAGGCCCAAGTGCTGACTCACTGTGTCCATATCCACTGCTCCCTGGAGACGCCATTTGACTTGGTCTCGCAGGACCTGTAGCCAGATCTTCACAGCAGGCAGGAATGGGGTATGGATGCCAGCCAGGGCCAGGGAGCGGCCATCCCTGTGGCAGGAATAGAATCAGGGCATGTTCCAACTCCGACCTCCAGGGCAGCCTCCAGCACAGGGTCTGGGGCTTTAGTCCCAGAGTTTATCTGGAAGAGGCATGGTTTAGGGGCTGGGGCTGGGGAGATGGCTCAGTAGAATAATCGCTTCCCTGGCAAGTGCAAGGGCCTCAGTTCAATCCCCGGTTCCACAAAAACAAAACAAAACCACAAGAGGCATGGTTTAGGAGTGCCTACCGGCCAGGGATGCAACTCCAAAAGCGCTGGAGATCAGCCAGGGTCAGGTACAGCTCAAAGAGCCCTGAGGCCACCTGGAGAGTCATCTTGGGGCTCAGTTCCTCAGTCAGCACCCATGCCTCCTCGGCCAACTGCCCGGAGTTTTGAGGGGAGGTATCAGACCAACAAAAGAACCAGGGGCCCTTCCTAGCTCTCCCTGCTTCCCCATGCCCAGCAGACCCGCCCAGTTGGGATCCTCCTCACCAGACGCTCTAGCTGCCGGAAGGTAAGGGTGAAGAAGTCCACCTTGAGGATACTGCAAAGGAAGGACATGCCTCAGCCACCTACCCCTCCTGCAGGCCCGTCAGCCCGACATGTGCAGTGTTGGTGCTGAGCAGCAGGACTCACCCATGGAAGAGGCTGGCATAGATGCCATAGCAAGCTTGAAGGTCCTCATAGATGATGTCTGCTAGCTCCACGAGCCCGGGGAGGCGCTGTGGCCCTGACTGCAAGGAGGTCTGGACTGTATTCACTGCTTGGGCCCCCATACCCACCATGACCAATCCCCGCTAAGCCACACCTGTTCTCGGGGACTCTTGGTGTTCAGGAGCCTGTTGTACCACTCACGGTTGCCTCTCTGCAGCAGAAGCCACCAGGAAGCACGATAGAGAGGAAAGAGGAAGAGATGGGGGTGGGTCATGAATCACAAGTGGGCAGGGCCAGAGGGGTCCAAACGCACCTTCAGGGCAGCAGCGATGTCCATGTTCAGCTCCGTCTCAAAGGGGCAAATCTCAAAGGAAGGTTGGAAGAGTTGCAGCTTATCTAAGCACCTACAGGTCAGGTATGTGGTCATGATGCAGGCTTCCTGAAGGTCCTCTTCCAGGATCTGCCCTGGCCAACACCCTCACCCCCACCCCCACCTCGTGTGGCACCCACTTTAGCAGCAGCTCCAGACGGTAGACAGCAGTGCTGTTGGTGGCAGGGAAGTAATCTCGGAGCCGGCGCAGCAGTTGCAGCCCATACTCAGAGAAGGCAGAGAAGCTGTCAGCCAGACTCTCCTCCTAGGGGTAGGAGCACGGCTCAGAGCTGCCTGCCAGCCCTGATCACAGATGCTGAAAAACACCTTTGCTCCTCCTGCCAGCATTTTCCTCCCCACTGTATGGCCGTCCCAGGCCTGCCTTGCTCTGCCCTGCTAAACTCCCTCCACCAAATCCTTCCTGCTGACCTCCATGCTAGTGTGACTCAGTCTTGGCCTTCATGACTCCCTCTGCCCTGCTCTACCCAACTCCACCCACCAGGAGTTTTGCATCTACTGTTCCCTTGCCCCATCCTCCCAGTGCCCACTCCCTCCTGCTGCTCAGACCTTCACCGCCACAGTGCCAATATCCACAGCCTCCTTCCCCAGTTTACTCCAATGCTTCCCAGTCTCCTTACAGCATGGTATGTGTGCTCTCCCCAGTTGTTTGTTTTCAACCTGAGGGCACACTCTGCCTCTTCTGCCCACCCAGAGCAGGGGTGACCCCAGCACAGCTCACCCTTCACCAACACCAGGCAGGTCTGTGGCAGTGCAGGCACTCACCTGCTCCTGGGGCAGCGAGGCTGCTTCTTCCCAGTGTGCCTGCATGTCTTCCAGCAGCCCCAGCAAGTAGCCATAGTCCAGCGTGCACGTCTGATGGTGGCGGCTGCTGACCTGCCAGTGCCTATGGGGGCCCAGTCCAAGGTCAGGCAGCACCTGGTCCTGCCCTACCATGGATCCTAGCCCATATCATCATCTTCCCTACTCACAGGACAGCCAGCTGCAAGGGTGACAGGTTACTCTGAGCTCCATGCAGGCAGAGGACTGTGGACCCAGGCCCACTGAACTCACCACGCCAGTTACTTGAATTGGACTAGGGGAGGAGGACAGGAGGGATGGAGGTGGGAGATGCCTCCAAGTTGTCCTCAAGCCTCTACCCAACTGTCCCACTTCCCAGGGTGCCCACTACCTCCTCTGCTTGGTGCTCGAACTGTAGTATGCGGCTCAGGAGTAGCAGGTAGGACAGGAAGCCAGAGCGGCCACGCTGGCTCATGACTGTGTCCCTCTGGAACACAGGGCCTATGGTCACTGCTCTGCCTGGGGATTGGTGCCCAGGACTCAGAGCATGCTACCCACCTGTGTTGTGATGAGCTTGAGGACTAGGTGGCAGTCTCCCTGCACACGTGAGGCACTAGAGCGTGGTTCCAGCTTGAACCAGCGGTCAGCACCAGCCACTGGCACATCCTGAGGGAGGCAGGTGGCGAGGAGTCAGACCTCAGGGACTCCTTATTTCCCTGCCCCCCACAGACTCAGGGAGGGGCCTAGGGAAGAGATGGGGGCATTCATGGGACCTAAACATAAGAAGCAGCTGGGAAGGTAGGATTGAGGGAACCCAGGATACAACCACTGCTCCCTAGGTGTAACCACCCCATCTTTAGCCCACACACCCGGACAGGGATGTTGAGGCACCCCAGGAAGTCATCAGTGTGGTCCTCTGTGGGCCCTGCTGTCCCATTTGTACGAGCTGACTTGACGATCTGTTTGAAGTACCTGGGCACAGTGAGGTGGCATCATGCTGGGGGACATGTGGGAGCCACCATCCACAGGGTGCCTATGGTTAAGCCAAAGGTTTGGGTGGGACATAAGGATCCCACTTGCTGTACCTGCCCATGCCCTTGAGGCCAATGACTTCATTCAGCTTTCTGCATGCTTCTGCCAGGGACACATCATCATCATGATCCCTGGAAAGGAGGTGGATTGTCTGGAGCTCCTACTGGCTCAGATGACCCCTTACTTCCCAGATACCCAACTACCCTGCCCTACAGGGCTCAGGGTCCTGTACCAGATGTCCAGGTGCAGCTGGTCCGTGTTGACATCTTCAATCTCACTATAAGGAAGACAGAGATGCCATGAGGGTACTGGGCAAGCTTCTGTCTGGAGCAGGGACTAGAATAGGGGGATCAGGGGCTAAGGCAGATGCAGTGGCCATGAGTTCCAGTTACCAGATAAGCTGAAGGTTCCAAATAGACTTGGCCACCTATTGCCAGTTGCGGGGTCTCGGTTTCCCATGTGACCAACCCCCAAGCAGAGACTGGGAACTTGTGAGTGGCACCCTCAGGACACTTGGCCACAGGGGGAGTGGGGAGGGCTTACAACAGGAAGTGCTCCTTCCAAACAGGGTTCAGGGTACTGCTCTTGACCTCTGTGACCTGAATGCACTTGGCTGGCAGCAGACTACTGTGCTTGCTGCCCTTGCGGAAACTGAAGCGCTGTTCCTTCTGCCCACTCTGCTCCCGAGGGGTGCCTGAAGCTGGCAGGATGCCCAGCATGCAGTACGGGTCACTGAAGCCTGAGACAAGGCAGGTGAGTTCAGCCCAAGCCTTGCTCTCTGTCCTCCACAGGTTCCAGGCCTGGGCGTAACTGGGGTCTTCTGGGGCCCCACTCACCATTTGGGTCTTTAGCCAGGAGGTTCTTAGCACGCATGACAGAGACTTTCAGGGTATATGTAGGGGCCTGCAGACAGAGGAGCACTGGGGGACTTAGAGCACTGGACGGTGGCAGTGTGAGTATAGCCACCCTCCCTGCCATCTCCTAGACCTCACCTGAGTGTGCAGTGTCCTTACCTTGGCTTTCTTCACACGCTTGATGGCCTCAGTGTGTTCCTCAGGGCTGGTGCCAAACACCTGTGGACCATAGGTGGTGACCAGGACCCAGGTGAGCCACTTTCCTGGGTCCCTGGGCAATCCAGCCCGAAATAGAATGACCAAGTGCCCACCTCAGAGGACAGCAGCATATGGGAGTGGAGCCTACCCTCTCTCTGTCCCAGCAAGGCTTGGATCAGGCTGCAGCCAAAGTATGAGCACACACCTGTGATGCCAGGTGCAGTGCTGGCAGGTGAGGGCACATGCAGAAACAGTTGTGGCATGTTAGCCAGGAATAGGACTTAGAGCACACATACTGTAGGGAAAGCATCTGCCCACCTGTCCACCCCTCTCTGAGCATCTGTCTGTCCTCTCTAAACCTCTCTGTGTTCATCTGTCTCCTTGTGTCTCTGCAGGTGTGTCCACATATCTAACCATTTCCCCGTCCTTCAAGGTGTGTTGGCCTGTCTATATGTCCATCTATGCACGTATGTGCCTGTGCAAGTGCTTGTCTATGCACATTTGGCATGTATGCTGTGTGTTGTTCAGGTGACAGTGACACAAATGGAAGGGTTTCCTGGTCCTCACAGAGTAGGATGGAGTGGGTGAGGCTGCCAGCTCACCTGCTGCAGGTAGCCCAGCAGGATCTCCTCATCATCCACCTGGGCCGGGCCCATGGTGCCAGCACGGTGGAGGACTGTATACAAGGCTTCCTCATAGAGCATCTCCACCTGTGGGAGCCAGGCTCTGAGTCCCTAGCCAGCTCCAGTGGGAGGTGGGGGTCTCAAGTCCTTGCTGCCCACAGGCTACATGCCCAGTCCAAGGAGGTACTTCCCTAGTGGAACCCAGTCCCTTCCCAGGGCCTCCACACCTGCTATCTCCACTGAGCCACCATGTCCCTTTTCTGTCCATCTACCACCAGGCAGGGCCCCACAATCCAGAACACAAAATATAGACCCTCCCCAACCCTTACTTCCTCCTGGGTCAGGGCTCTCAGGCCGAGGTTGGGGTCCACAGGTTCAGCAGGGGCTGGTGAGCCGCTCCGCAAGAGGACCTATATGGAAGACAGAGATGCCATGAGATGTGGTGAGGGTCTTGGGACAGGGCTTAGCCTGTTGCTGCCTCACTGTGACTCTATGGTTAGAAAGACAAGGGTGCTCTAAGGAGAAAGGAGTGAGAGGAGCACGGATGGAGGTTGAAGTGGATGATCAGGTGGTGGGCTGCAGCCCCAGACCCTGCAGAGCATCTCACCTCTGGACAAGGGAGGCCTTGTCTTCCTTCCTTCTTCTTTAGGATGAGGCGCATGTGGGCAAAGAACTCCATGCCATCCCCAGGTTTCCTAGAAAGAGGCTAACCAGTGCTTGGGCCATAGGATGCAGGAGTCATGCATAGGACAGGGGCTGTGTGATGCTCAGCACACTCATGGCATCACTCATGGCCTTCAGTGCAGAGCCTCACACCATTTCCCACCCAGAGCGGGTACCCACCAGGCCCCCGTTGCAGGCTCTGGAGGGTCAGCACTGGTGCTCCCGGGCTCCGGCTCTGTCTTGCGTCGGAAGGATGGACACACTTGCACTTGCCTGAGCACACTACTCTTGATTTCCATCAAAGTAGACATGGTGGCAACCTGCAGCAAAACATGCCCATGACTTTGGGCCAGGCATCACTAAGCCCACAGTGGGGGATAGCCAGCAGGAGGCAGAGAGGAAAAGCCTGGTTCTCAGGCACCCTGGGGCCTTCATGGACTCCAGCCACCACACCTGCCAGGTAGCCTATTAGACCTTCATATCCCCTACAGAGTAGCACTGGGGATGTGGCAGCTGATGCCACTGAAACAGTGGGACCAGCGCTACATATGGAGTTGCTGAGATCTTATTGGGGACAGACTGTTCTGTCATTCCCAGTTCAGGGCTAGGGCTCTATCTGTGCTGGTATCTAGGCCACCTCTGCCACACAGGTGGTACCTCTGAGAGTGTGACAGGAAGCATCCGTGCCTCCTGGGACCCCATCAAGAAAGCCAAGATGCTGTGGAGTAGTGCACAGCTCCCTTAGTCCCACAGTCACCTGGGCCTTTTCTTCAGGAGTCCAAAGCACCATGTGGGGCCACAGAGCAACAGAGGTAGGACCATGTCCTGGGCCAATGGGCAGCTGCTCACATGGCCAGAATTCCTAGAAGGAAGTTTTTTGGTGTATTCACCTATTAAGCAAATCTCTGCCTCAGAGGCTGGTCAGCAAAAGCAGTTGTGGGAGGTGGAGTCATGAATGGTAGTGTACACTTGTAATCCTCAGCTCTGGCTGAGATAGGATTGCTGCAATTTCGAGACTAGCCTGGGCTCCATTGTGAGTTCAAAGCTAGCAAGACCTTGACTCAAAAAAGAAAACAAAAACCAGTGGGGGCAGCAACCCCTAAAGAAGAGCTTGCTCCCACAGTTGGTACAAACGAAACCCAACTGTGTAACCTAGCTGGGAAAGAACAGCCCTTGTCCTCCAGTTCATCCTGTCGGTTACTCCTCTGCTGCTGTGGCAACTGAGCCAGCCTGTGGCATCCTGCTTGGAGCAGAAGCTACCCAGATGTCACCACTGCTGGGACAGAGAGCAGTCTTCTGCCAAGAATGCAGCCTGCTCAGCCCACTCGCTGCCACTCTGCTGTTAACGGGGAAGCAGCAGTGCTCAAAATTGGCGGGCCTGGGTGGGGCTGGGACACAGAATGGACAAAGCAACTATCTTGGCCCTGAATGCTACAGATGATTGTTTCCTTTCCAGGTGGCAGGTCCACTCACATTTTTTTTCTGGGTCCCCAGGTCCAGCCTACTTGTATCATGGAGGGAGGCTCAACAAAATGTTCAGGCTGGCTCAGCCCCTTAAGTAGGGTCAGAGATTTCCCCTGTAGCCCCCAAATTGGAGGATGACAGCTAGGGCACCATAGCCTTTTTTTTTTTTTTTTTTTTTTGCAGAACACTGAATTGAACTCAGGCCCTTGCACTTGCCAGGCAAGCACTTATTCTACTGAGCTACCTCCCTGGCCCCCCGCCATAGCCTTCTGAGTCCCCCTCTTCCACCACACTACTCTATCTGGACACTTACCTCTGCCCTGGGTCATGCAAAAACCTCTAGCCTTTTGCCTCCCTCACACTGCCTTGGGGAATCCCTCTCCATCCCTTGAGAAAAAGTGTCCCACAGCCAGGCCACCTCTGCCACACAGGTCCACCTTTTGACTTCCCTGCCTCACATTACCTGTCTCTAGTTTCTAGGATGCACTCTATCCCCAGATCGCCACACTTGCCACAAGCCCTTTGAACTTTTGTCTGGGTCTCCTTCCCTCATTCATGCTCACCCATCTACCCAGGCACATTAGCCCTTACAGAGGGACTGTTACCTCTGTTTTACAAAAGGAAACAGACTCAGCAGATCCACTCCTTGCCCAGGATCTCAGGAGCAGTTAGCAGAGGGAGACCCAACTAGATGACCTTGCAGCCCATGCCAGGCTGGACCTGTGCACTACTTGTCACTGCACCTTGGAACTGGGAGTTCAACCAAGGTGTTCCATCTGGGCACACCTGGCATCTGGTGGCTCTACATAAATGCTGTGCAAGCTGCCTGCTGCACCTGGCATAGGGGAAGAGTCCCCACCCCTAGTCTATGCCCTGCACAAGCTCAGAACCCCTTAACAACACTTCATCCTGTTTCCCGACACTCTAACCAGGGTCCTGGTGAGCCTGGCAAGGTGCTAGGCTCTGACGGCTGTTGTCTGGCCAGACCTAAGAGTAGAGAACAAGGAAAAGGCTTCATCCTTGAAGGTGCTACTCAGAGTCCAGAAATGAAGGCTTGCTTCCCTCACATCTCTATGTCTGGGGGGCCAACAGGCTGGGCAGAGTGTTTCAGAAACTGTTGCCTCAGCCAGGAATAGTGCTAATAGGAATAGTTCTAATCCTAGGACTCTGGGAATGTAAGTTTGAGCCCAGGGTAGGTGACTTAGTGGCTTACCAAGATCATATCTCAAAATAATGACTGGGGATACAAAATAATAAGGGCTGTGTGGTAAACGGCCTGGGTTCAACCCCCCAGTACCAAAAAGCAAACAAATGAACAAAACAGAACCCCCCAACACAAAGCTGTTTACCCCACAACCAGTTCTCCAGAGGCTGAGAATCATAGGCCCCTCTTCTCCCCAGAAGAGAGGCTGCACCCCCCTGTGCCCCAAGCTTGCAGAGCAGCCTCTGTTTGAGCTGTTGCCAGGGCAACCGCCAGCATATGAATGTGACGGACCACAGGGGCTCTGGGTACCAGAGACAAATATGACGCAGAAGCTCAGCAACCTGAGCTGTAGGCCTGGGGTGTCTCACTGAGAACAAAATGTCTAGGCTGAAGGGGTCCAGGCACCCCATATGCATTTTCCACTTAGCATCTCACCTGTTACACCTGTGGCCACTCTTTGATAGGGCACTGCTCAGCTCCCTGTTGTCAGATGAACCCACCCTAGCCCTAGGTCACACAGCCAGCAGGGGGCGGCCTGGAACTGAGGTTCTGGGGTCCCAACATGAAGCTGGGAGGGCCTCAGGATCCAATCCAGCTGCTTCTCCCACCCCAGTCCATCTCTAGGATGGAGCCAACAGCAGCCTCGCAGCACTGGTGTCCATAAGAGACGGCTCATCCAGATGCCCAGAGCTGCCACTCTGACCCTGGCTCTCAGGAAACCACAAAAAGTGGTAGATGGGCACCTTGTCCACAGTCAAGACTTGAACCCAAGACTGGCAAGTCAAGCTGCCCCTTGCTAGGCTATTTGGGGCATGTGACACTGATGCAGGTGGATCTGGAGCAAGTGAGCAAGAGAACCCTGATGGCCTTCCTGGTTCTCATTAAAAATCATTAAAAACACCTCCAAGATCCTAGGGTTGGGGGGCTCCTTTCTTAGTGCTTTTGGATTCCTCAGACTGGACAGGGGTGTTCCCTGGTAGGACAGGATGTCTTCTTCTCCCACTGGGTTTCCCACACCCCTACCCCCAGATCATTTCTCTTTTGGGCTTCTCTTTTTTCCTGCCCTGCCCCCAAGTCTTCTGGATTTCCAGGTCTCCCCCTGGCCTCAGTGTTCCCTGCAGAGGCAGGCCAATGCCCAAGGGCAGCTTACCTGGCTTTGCTGGAGGCAAGTAAGTGTGTGTGTGTGTGTGTGTGTGTGTGTGTGTTTGGGGGGAGGGCATGCTGCCTGTAGGCAGACCTGGGTCTCACAGGATGACCCCGTGGGATAGGGTGGAGGGTGCTTCCAATGAGCCCCTTTTTACCTGTCTCACTCACCTGCCTTCGCCGCGATACCTCTCCCTCTCTGCCCTTCAAATCCCCTGGGTCTTGCTTCCCCTAGAAATTGAAGTCCGAGGGTATTTGGTCTGGTGTGAGGTGTTTCACCACCAGCTGTAGGAAGGAAATTCTCGAGTGGCGCGGGGTGGGTGGGGCCCTCGCGGGCAGAGGCTCAGGGGGTCCCACCAGAAGGTTGAAGGGAAGCGTCCCTGGGGTCCTTGCTCCGTCTAAAGAGCTCCCTTGGGAGGGCGGGTGCCGGTGATCGCTTTCGCCCCAATCTCCTGCCCCAAGGTTGCGGCCCTGCCCCCGCCCCCAGCCCCGCAGTGCGGACCCTGCTGCCGCACTCAGCTGCGCACTCCGAGGGGAGAGGGCAACTGGAGGAATCATGCCCACGGCCCCGCCTCCCCGGGCCTCAGTTTCCCCGGGGCCACAGGGGCGTCTTTGCTATCTGTCCACCACCCGGGGCCCGCAGCAGAGCGCAGACGCCAATGTTCGAGCCTGAGTGTGGCTCTGTCCGTCCGTTGGTCTGTCTGGGTGGGCGCCGGCCCGGCCCCGACGGCACAGGGCTAAAGGCTGCGGCACTCACCCGGGGCGCGGGGGCAAAGGGGCTCCTGCGGGCGCTGTCACTCGGGTTGGGGACCGCGGGACCCCGCGACTGTTCTCTGACGCGCTCGCTGGAGACTCAGCCCGGCGTTCGGGCGGTGGGCGGGTGGACTAGGGGCGGGGGCGGGGCCTCTTCGCAGCTTAGGGCGGCACAGCTTCGTGCAGGGAGGAGGGAGAGATCCGGGATGGGCGGGGCTTTCGGGAGGCATGGGGTGGTGGTGGCGGCTGTGTCTTCCGTGGGGGTCTCTGCCCTGGAGCTCCAGCATCGACGCTGATCGTTTGCCGCGGGGAGGGGAGGCGCTCATAGAACTAAATCTGGGTGCCCCACGACAAATCTGTGAGGGTGGGAGGCCCAAGTTGGCCCTAGTCCCTTAGCAAGTCACAAAAAGCTGGACTCCGCTCCCCACCCCCATCCTCCGCAGCCTCTGCTCTCAAACCAGTGGCACTGTGGTCATCTGGAAGGCTTTGCCATACTGAGGTTGAACTCAGGGTCTTCATCACACTGAACTACAGTCCCCTGCGTTTTTTGAGACAGGGTCTGGCTAAATTGCTAAAGCTGGGCTTGAATTTTTGCAATGCTCTTGCTTCAGCCTCCCAAGTGTTGAGATTATAGTATAGGTGTTCACCACCATCCAGGGCAATTTGGAAGGCTTGGTGAACATACCTGTTGGTCTGCTAGTCTCTACACAAGCTGCCTCATATGGGCCTGGCCCCTGGGCTGCAGGCTGTCCTGGGCTGACCGGGTGCTTGGGGTGGTTGGAGGGGCACAGTAGGCCCCTAGCTAGGCTCAGCTCTGCCTCTGCTGGACACTGTAACTTAGATTTGGGGAAGGTTTTCCTTCAGAGGGTGGGTCCTTTATAATGGGACCTCACCCCTGTAAAGAGCAGAGAGGCAGAGGCAAGGCAGGCAGCTTCTCAGCTCAGCTGAGAGGCAAGGGCAGTTTCTTGTGGAAGGCTGTCGCTAACTTCCAGAACAGCTGTAGCAGAGGCCTCTCTGCAGATCACCGTGTACAGTACTCCCTGTCCCAGCTGTCCTCCTGTCTTTATTGCTGGGCACTGAGAGGGAGCCCAGGAGGGAACAGCCTGGTCACCCTTCCCCAGCTCAGGATACAGGTGGCTTCTCCCCTTGCCCTGGGACAGTGACATTGGCATCTGTCTAGAGCTGTAGGTTCTAGCTCACATCTATCGCCAGCCCCACACCTCTGCAGGGGATGGGAGACAGGGCAGGATGGCAGGGTGAGGGAGGCAGGACTATGGGATGTGTTCTCCTTCACCACTTCCATCCTGACCCAGTCTAGCCAGGAAAAGAGGGTGTTGTGGGGAAAGCTCAGGAAATGTATTCTGCTTGGGACAGGGATGTGAGATAAGCAGGAGAGTGGGTCTGGACCCTGTGTCCCCATCTGTCCTTCTGAAGGCAGTGGGAGTTGGTACAGGGGCAGCTAACCTCTCTCCCAGGATCTGAGCTGAGCTCCCAACCTGGCAGTTTTGCGTCAGGTTCTGACAACCTGTTGGAACAAACACAGTCTGGTTGCCATGGAGATCATAATGGCTTTGGGGTGAAAGGATGAGTCTGCAGCTGCTGTAAACAGGAAGTTGGGGGGGCAGCTGCCAAGCTCTCAGAAGGGGCTCCAGCCACTGAGACTAACCCTCAGACTGTGGGGCTGGTTGGCCCCTTGGAGACTCTCATTGCTCTTCAGCGGGTAGGAAAACAATGCAGGCTTGCAGTCACTTGTCTGAGGCCACACAGCAACAGGCTGGAATCCAAAGCCAGCCCCGTGGCTCAGTTTCCCTGGGATAGGATAATTCACAGGGCTCCCCACTCAACAGATATTTAGGGGGAGGGGCTGACCTCTTCTTTCATTCTTCTCTCACTTGAGAATGAAGTCAGACTGACCTGGGTGAGAGCCCAGCCCTATTTATCCCTGCCCAACACATCACTCTGGTGGCTGGTGCCTGACTTTCCCTGGGGCTTTTGCGGCCCTTCAGGGGGGCTGTCTAAGCTTGTAGTAGGTCAGTGTCCACTAAAGTCCTCCCCATCATTGGGGTGGAAGCTCTGGCTTTCCCAAGACATTTCCTGCTCTATGGTTGGAGGTGGAAGCCCATCCTTTCTGTGATCCTGGCACTGGGCATAGAGGCTACCTCCTCCTGGTGCCTGGGCCTCAGCTGGCTCTGAGGTCCTTGACTCCTGAACCGTTGGACAGCTGCTGTTCTCTGGGCCTCAGCTTGCTCTGAGGTCCTTGACTCCTGAACCGTTGGACAGCTGCTGTTCTCTGGGCCTCAGCTTGCTCTGAGGTCCTTGACTCCTGAACCGTTGGACAGCTGCTGTTCTCTGGGGTGAGGGGCCAGCATATTTGTTAGCAGTATCTGCAGCATAGTGACCTTTCTGGATAGAGTGAGCCCACAGCCCACACAGACCACAGGAAGGCCAGGACTAATTGTGCAAATGGAGAAAAAACACTTGTTAGGCCCAGCTGTGTGCACATTCAGGACTCCAAGATGGAAAGGGTCTGGCAGGTAGGAAGAAGAACTCTTCTGCCTTAGGACCTAGAAGCACCAGGTTTTAGACGCTGAGCTCCATGGCAGCCGACAGTGCAAAGCACTGTGCCCTCTGGTGGCTGCCTGAAGAATTGCAGGCACAGTCTTGGGGCCAAAGTCCTCAGTCTGCTGCCAGTGAGGACTCTGGCCAGGACTATCTACTCTGAGGCTTGAGGACCTTGAGATAACAGGAACCCCGTAATCTCTGTACCCCTGAAGGAGCTTCAGGAAAGGGTCTGTCCTAGAACTGACTTCCTGCTTGAGACACTGGCTCCTGAGTTATGGTCACCTTAGTCTCCACCTGCAGTTTAGGGAGCCTCTTGCCACCACACTAATAGGTGAATTAGCTCAATCTTGGTGCCATTGTGAGTCTGTTGTCGGTTTCTGAGGGACCCTATAAATGGGTATGCACAGGAGGCCCAAGAAGAGGCCCAAGAAGAGCAAAATAGAAGCCACTGGTGGGACAAAGCCCACCTAGGAGTTTGGGGAAGCTGAAACCCCCTGTGAGGACAATTAGTCCTCAGCTCCATCAGGATTTGAATTGAAAGCCTCCTTTGCCTGAACTATCTAGGCAAACTATCTAGCCTCCTAATCTCTGTCCTTTCCACCAGCTTGTAAGTGGGAATGCCAGGTTCCCTCTCCAGCAAGAGTGCACACTCAGGTCACCTCTTTATCAGGGACCAGTGGAGGGAGGGCTCCATCAGGACAGAGCTGGGCATAGCTTCTGTACCCAGCTGTTCTGTGCCCATCATTCTGTGCCGATTCTGGGGAGTAGAGAGGCTGTTGTCCTGTATCTGGGCCCTCTCCTCAGTGCCAGAATTCCTTTGGGGGTGGGGACTTGTCTTCCTCCCTTCCCTGGAAAAGGAAAGTACTGAGAACCAGTGAAGACAAACCCAGCCACACACCCCAAAGTTTTGTACTGTTGTAGTTTGCTTATTTGCCCCTCCCTCCCCCCAAGAGCTTGGACATGGTGGCTTCAGGACAAATCCAGGCATCTGGGTCAGGCCAGGGAACAAGCAAGATGAAAATACCCTACTGGCTCAAGCCAGGAAACTGGCTTCCCGAGAGGTGGGAGTATCCATTGCTTCCAGGAACCTCATGTGCTGACAAAAAGAAAAGCTAGCCCCCAGCCCTAATTTGGGTCAGCAGGGTTGGTATTAAGTGAATTGTCCCCAAGCCCAGCCCTCATTGGTCCCCCCTGCTGAACTGGCTGGCTGATTTCAGAAGGTCCTCCAACCTGGCAATTCATCACCATAGCAACAAGCCAGCAGCTTGCTATCAGCAGATACAGTTGTGACTGGAGGGCCTCAGGTTGATGAGGGTGCTCAGATAGCCTGGGTTGGTCTCTGTAGGGACTGCAATGGGAAATCAGACAGGGCTTTGCCTAGATAGTTCAGTAAGGTAAAAGGAACCAACAACAGGAACCAGATAGCCAGGCCTCAGACAACAGCTCTGTGCTGTGGCCAACTCTTCTTACTTCTCAAGGTCTGGTTAGTCCCAAGATCTCCCAGGTGGCTTGGGAGTGGCGAGAAGATGGCCACCGAAGCCCATGCACAGGCCCACTTCCATGCTGCCTGTGGCCAGCTTCCCCCGGGTTAGCTTTGGGCACTATGTAAAGGCCTATGGGTAACCATGAACAGTTCTCAGCCCCGTCAGGATTTGAACTGAAAGCCTTCTGTGTACCTTGGTGTCCCATGTGGTGGTAAGAGTGCAATCCCAAATGCTGGGTGCTAGCACCTGGAGACTGGAGAATCCCACTTTGTGAGGGATTATGTAGGCAGGAGCAACAGGTTCAGAACAGTATGGTGGGGAGGCTGGGGGTGAAAGGCATCCTCGTATTGAGTGAATGGGCTCCCTACTCTCCAACACAGGGCAAAGGGAGGGGATAGGGCAGGAAAGGACACAACCCAAGGGCAGCCATTTGTGGAAATGTTTTAATTTGAGGATTATTAGATACAGTGGTTAATCTGTTGCCCACAGTTCCTTACTAGAATGAGGCCTCATGCTGGGAGCACCCTCCTCCCTCAGGTTAAACACAGATGATCACATTTCATGTCTCAGGTTACAAGATTCACATCTTTGTTAAGCCAAGGACTGTGGTACAAAAGGAAAGAGTTCATAGCTGATGAGTAGTCACTACAATTTGCTAGAAACATCAATTACTTTAGAATATTTTAACTATAAAATATATTGAATTTCCATAGAGTAACCATATACATGTATAACTATTACTAAATGTAGTCAATCATTACAAAATAAGACATTCTGGGAGCAGGCTACAAATACACGAGCTGGCTGAATTCCTCAGAGAAGGCCCCTCTGTGGATAAACAAACGGTAACTGTCCATTGAAAAGTCCAGCTACCTGCCAGGGTACAGAGTTAAGTGTGAACAAGGCTCTGCCTATTGTGGCCAACTAGGTGTGGCCCCAACCTCCCAGAGTACTGTCTGACCCTCCTCTCTCCACCAGCTCTCACTTCCTGGATCTGAGCACTAGAGACACAGGTGACCAATTCCTGTAGCAGGAACTGAGTCTTAGGAACAAGACTGGTGGGGACTGTGCTCACAGCAGTGAGGGACAGGGGCTACTTCAGCCCAGTGTACCCACCTTACATCCTGGCAAGCTCCAAGGGGATAGCTACCCCACTGACCTGCATAGGCCTGGGTAACACTAGACACAGCAACACAGGCTGATAAGATGTGCATGAACAGCAGTGCCTCAAGATGTCACCCAGGTCAAGAGCCCCTCAAGGTGTCTAGCTCTGTCCAACAGTCTAGTAGCTGGAGAAGGCACCTGCCTTTTGCCAGGGCAGCAAACCGCTTGGTGCATAGGTGGGGCACGCAGAGAACTGAAGACAGTCACTTACTTCCTTGGCAAGTATGTAACTGTAGGGTCCAAGTGCAGTCACCTGGAACGTGGGCTGGTAACAGCTGCTTTGTCTATGGACCTTCCTTGGCCTCAGCCCTGGTCAGGTCTTAGTTGTTGTGTCTTCTCTGAGGCAGTGGGTCACAGGCTCTGACCTCCATGCTTTACGGTTTGGACTCCAACTGTGACTCACTAGGTTTGTACTCTGCCTAGTCCTCTATATCCCAGGAATCCAGGGGTAGGAGGAGAGCAACACCTTGGACATATACATTGTACATAGTCCTATTTACAAAGAACCAGCACAAGATAGAGCCATGTGGGACCTGGTGCATCCCAGAGCAGAGGCTTTGAGAAGAGCTCAATGCCACTGGTCCTGGGCCCTGGGCTGTGGCCCATCAAGAACGCTGGGCTCACTGAGGCACCTTTCCTCATACTTTAATGACAATAATGCAACAAAAACCTTTATATAAACAGTTTATTTACTCTAAACAGCAACACAGACAAAACGCCATATAAACACAAAGGAAGTGATGCAAAATCGAGACACTAGCTGACTTTGGATCTGAGGCTCATAAGCAACACAGCCCAGGTTCTGAGGAGACCAGATGAGGGGTGGGAGGGGCAAGTGATTTTCTTCTCGTACAGCCAGCTAGAGGCTA